CCCGACCCACCAACAGCGGCAGCTAAGAGCGCCGAGCCAATCTCAGCGACCTCCTCTTTTGCGTGCTTCAGCGATGGCCCGCAGGCTATGTCAGCTGGAACCTTGGAGGAACCAAGTGCAGATTCGATGCAGGCCATGGCCATGGGAATCAGCACAGCAGATGCTGTGCAACAGGGCAAGGCCGTCATTGACGGCGGTGCGACCAAGACGCTTGCCTCCATCAGCGCGATGGAGCGGATCATGCAGCTGAACAACATGAAGAAGGGCGACTCCGGCCTGATTTCCGTTGACCTGTCTGAGCGCCCAGTTTTCGGATTCGGTAATGGGTCTGAGGATAGGTGCAGTTCCACTGTACAGCTTCGGATCAATGCCGACAAGAAGCCAGGAGAGGTCAAAGTCCATTGCCTCGACAGAGGCAGTGGGCCAATGCTTTTGTCTATCGACACACTGCGCAAGCTTAAGGCCATCATCGACTTCGAGAGTGATCTTGTGTGCTTTAGGGCTTTGGATGCTGAAAAGCTTGTGCAGGTCGAACGATCTCAGACGGGGCATCAACTCATTCCCATGACAGAGGATTGGTTGGCCAAAGGCCAGGCCACTAAAAGCCCAGTCCCCAGTCTGAGCAGTTTTGTCAATATCTAGGGACAACTCCTTCCTGTTCCTAGTTCCGTGGGAGCAGCGAAGGTCCCAGACATAGCGGGACACGGGGTGAAAACCACTCTGCAGCACACTATTTCTAGTAGTGAGCTGGGTTTCAGGAGTGATGTTAATGGAATTCATGGTAGTGATGCTAGTCAATCTGTACTTGAGTCTGGTGAAACGGCACAGAGTGAGCCACCACAGACGAGCAGAAGGAGATCCGCGACGTTCGCAGCTGATTGTGAGCTCCAGGATACGAACGGTAGCAGCCCCAACCAAGGCCTCCTCAGTGTCGACCATGCCGAAGCCCACCAAGGCGGACCTTCAGGCCGAGCTTGCCTTGCTCGGGGAGACAGCACCAGCAGGATGGACCAAGCTGGAGCTGGAACAACGTCTTCGGGAACTACGCGAGCTGGGGGTGACCGACCACGAGAATGTGAGGGCGAACACGAGCATGGAGAAGATGATGAAGGACTTGAGGAGGGCCAGCCGGCTCAAGAGCACGCTGGCCAAGTACTGCACCGAGACGTTGCAGCTCGAGCTCACGGGCAACGAGGTGATGGCCAAATTGATCGACAAGGCCACCAAGGAGATATACCGAGTGTGCCCTGCCGAGGGCCACGACTTGGTCAGCTTCGGGAAGCATGCGGACGAGTGCTACATCACGCTGGCCACGGAGTATCCCGAGTACGCCACATGGGTCAAGACAACCTACAAGGAGAACGGCGAGGAACATGTGGAACCACGGTTGGCGCGCTTGGCGAAATGGCTCGTGGA